ATTCTATTCTATTCTATTCTATTCTATTCTATATTCTATATTCTATTCTGTTCTGTTCCGTTCCGTTCCGTTCCGTTCCGTTCCGTTCCGTTCTATTCTATTCTATTTCTATTCTATTCTATATTCTATTCTATTCTATTCTATTCTATTCTATTCTATTCTATTCTATTCTATTCTGTTCTGTTCTATTCTATTCTAATTCTATTCTATTCTATGCTATTTTCTATTATGTTTTCTATTCTATTCTACACTAAATTCTATTCTATACTAAAGTCCCATTCTATTCTACTTTATTTTATTCTCTTCTCTTCTAAACTGTATTCTATACTAAATTCTTTTCTGTTGTATTTTCTGTATTTTATTCTCTTCTATACTAAATTCTATTCTATTCTATACTAAATTCTTATCCTATTCTACTCTATTTTATTCTTTTCTCTTCTACATTGTATTCTATACTAAATTCTCTTCTATTTTCTGTATTTTATTATTCTATTCTATTCTAAATTCTACTCTATTATCTTCTAAATTGTACTCTATACTAAATTCTATTCTAAATTCTCTTCTCTTCTCTTCTCCTATTTCTTCCAGCTACCTAGAGTCAGCATGATTTCAGACAGCAGTGCAATAAATAAAAATAATAAAAAAGAAATAGAAATAGGAAACTTTTTAAAAAGATTCCTGGCTGGAATGTAAAACGAATACATTTAAATCCGACCCTTTGAATTTAACCTCTTTCTGCTAAAAAGTTGAGGGGGGGCGGGAAATCCCCACTGAGAGGCAACCCAAAAGACATCCTGCTCCCCACCCGAAAAGCCCTTCCTAGAATTTGGGGGTCTCCTCACTGATGGTGTGACGAGGACAACGGGGGACACACACCATGTTTCGCCCCCAAAATGCCATTCGCTCTTGGAGAAAAAAAAAAAATGCCGATTTAACAGCCCTTGCAAATTTGTGGGCCTCGGCCCCTTTAAGACAGGGTGGACTTCAACTCCCAGAATCCCCCTGCCGGGAGCCGAAGTCCGCCCAACCTTAAAGGGGCAGGGGCCGAAAAAAGACTCATCTTATACACGTAACGTTGTAGGTGTTTTTTTCTTCACCCCCCACCCCTTTTCTAACGGCTTGAGAAGTTCAGGGTGCAAAAGACAAGAGGGGGAGCAGGACATTGGTGAGGGGGCTCACAAGGAGGGGATCTATAGTACCTTCCAGCAAGGACACCCGGAAGTTCAGGTCACCCTCTGCAGGAAGGAGAGAACCAACGAGACAGGCTGGAGTTTGCAAAGCCAACCCTGGTTGACTGGGCACTGAATTTGGGGGCTGGGGGTGTCATGCAGGCCCCCGGGGCAGTTCACCCCCTCCCCTGCATTCCCTACCTAGGAAAAAAGTGGGGGGGAGGGGACAGAGGCCATTGGCTTCACTAAAACGGGACGTCTCCGCGAGAGCAGAGCAAAACTGCGGTTGTTAAGGGAGTCACGTCTGATTTTACAACCATTTTTGCAATGGTTGTTAAGCGAGTCAAGGCACTTGTTAAGTGAATCATTACTGTAAATCTGGCTTCTGGCCAGAAGCCGGCTGGAAATCATGATTACGTGACCTGTCATAGATTACCAGCCCCGATTTTGATGACATGGCGATGGGGATGGTCATAAGTGCGAGGACTGATGGTCATAAGTCACAGATCTAGCCCCCTGCTTTTCCCTTTCTTCTTCTTCTTCTTCTTCTTCTTCTTCTTCTTCTTCTTCTTCTTTTTTCTTCCTCCTCCTCCTCCTCCTCCTCCTCCTCCTCCTCCTCCTCCTCTTCTTCCTCCTTCTTCTTCTCCTTCTTCTTCTTCTCCTCCTCCTTCTCTTTTTCCTCCTTCTCCTCCTCCCTCCTCCTCCTCCTCCTCCTCCTTTTCAATTAAGTTCTTGGCCTTCCTATTTCTTATTTCTTTCTCTTGAAAGAAAACAGCATTGTGAAGACAGATCTACAAGATCCGGTCAAAAACGTCAAGATGGCCGGGCACTACGGCTGCCATCTTGGCTGCTTTTTGACTACCCCGCCTGCAAAATGTGTATCTGGGGTATTTCTTTTAGCTGCCGGAGATGCGAAGTGTGTCGGAACGATTGTGTGTGTGTGTGTGTGTGTGTGTGTGTGTGTGCATATGCCTCCTGTGTATTAAATATGTGTTGCTGTTTTTTTAAATCGTGGTGGAATTATCCTGGCGAGTGGTAAAAAGGCATTTATTCAGGGTAGACACAGGAGGCAGGTCCTTACTCAAAATGAGGCTGGGAATTTGGGGGGTCCTGATCCTAAAAGTTTGAGGGGTGTGCATGGGGGGGGGGGAAGAAGGCCAGAAGAGAGGAAGCCACCCACCTTCCATGGGGCTGTTAGCATCCATCCGGTTAGCGAAGACGATGTCCACGTATCCCAGCTGGAGTCTCTGCAGGGACCCTTTCAGCCCTGGAGGAGGGAAGAAGGGGAGGGAGGAGAAACGATGGAATTAGGAGCCCCCAAGGGGGAGGGCTGGGGATGATGGGAGCTGAGGGTCCCCAGCGGGGAGCTTGTAACCCATCCTTCCCACCCATCCATCCACCCATCCTTCTGTCCCTTAATCCATCCTATTCATCCTTCCTTCAATCCCTCCATCCTTTCCTCTTGTTCATCCATCCTTCCCACCCACCTGTTCTTCTGTACTTAAATCCATCCTTCCATCCATCCACTTACCTTTCCTTCCTTCCTCTCTCTTGCATTGCTCTTTTCCTTCCTTCCCTCCCTCTTATCTATTTTTCTCCTTCCTTCCTTCCTTCCTTCCTTCCTTCCTTCCTTCCTTCCTTCC